CACACAAACAAAACCACAAGTCGCGTTTCTTCGAACCTTGCACGAATCGTGTCGCATAATCTTAATTTTAGCAGAACGAGCTCCACACCAGCTTCGCACTAGGCATTCGATGGGTCATGTTCAGTTCGTCCAATCATAGACCGTCCCATCAATGCATAGGTACAATGTAGCTTGCCACCAGTCTGACTACCCAGGTACTTCGGTAGGTACCTTGGCTAGGCGCCTCTTTATTAGATCGCTTCCCTTGCAGGCGGGCGGCCCGAGTTGCTTTGTCATTGGAGAGGGCCATGAACCAGGTCATGTGATGGGTAACTCACCTTGCCTCCTCAGCCACAGCACAGGCCTGCAACCTAGGTACCTCAGGTGCTTAGGATCGGCGAGGCGAAAGCGTTCGGCTTAGTCCGAGTGGCTTGTTAATCCATCATTCGTCCTCAGCATTCTAGAAGGATTCCCAGTGTCATCGCCCTGTCGACAACCTTTCTTTTCCGGACTACCCAATACTCTGCACAACAACCACGTCGCCATCTTGCACAGCTCAAACATCATGGAGCCAAACGGCGGCACAGGGCACTGAGGCAGCTGCCGCGCCTGCTCCTGTCGCGGTCTTCAAGCGCCGTGGCGCAAAAGGCATAGCCAACATCCGCAGAGGCCAGGTACACCACCAGCGAACAGCGACTCCGACTCCGACTACTCCTCATCGGAGGACGAGGCCGACCACCGCATCAACCGTCGAAAGAAGAATACAGGCGCAGTCACAGCCTCGTCCAAAGCCAACGCCACCTCGAACGAGGACATCGCCGCGCCAGTCTTCTCAGCCGACCGCAACACGCAAATCACCAGCGCCACCGACGCCACCAAGTCGAGCAACTGGTTCGATGAAGACGCAAAGGGTGCCATGTCCTCGAAGAATCTTCTGGGCAGCACGCGTGCGGCACCTGATGGCACATACAAGGGCCTGGCAAACAAGACATCCTTCGTCCAGAGAAACCCCGATGCGCCCAGTCGCACAGTCGGACCTATCAAAGCACCAACCAACATCAGAAACCATTACGGTGATTGACTACACACCGGATACATGTAAAGATTACAAACAGACAGGTACGTCGTCTCCAGGTCTCCTCTGCATTGTCTCGTAGGACGCCCTTGCTAACCTTAGAACAGGCTTCTGCGGATTCGGCGACAATTGCAAGTTCCTTCATGCCCGTGAGGACTACAAGCAGGGATGGCAGCTGGATAAGGAGTGGGAGGATGTTGCCAAAGGCAAGAAGAATTTGGGTGGAACCATCGTCGCGGATGCAAATCGAGATAAGGTGGCAGACGACGATAATGAGGAGGAAGACGCTATGCTTGAGAACATCCCGTTCGCCTGCATCATCTGCAGAGAACCATACAAGTCACCAGTTGTAACGAGATGCGGTCATTACTTCTGCGAGCCTTGCGCGCTCAAGAGATACAGGAAAGATCCAACATGCGCGGCATGTGGAAGCGGGACTAGCGGCGTCTTCAACTCGGCGTCAAGACTCAAGAAGTTGCTCGACAGGAAGAGAGCGAGAGCCGCGAAGAAACGGCAGGACGCAATAGACGCTGGAGAGGAGGTCAGCGATGAGGAGGAAGAATGAGTCACATGATGGAATCAATGCAGATTGTGGTTCATGATGATCCGGTTGCATGGAAATTCAAAGAAAGCTCAGTTTCTGCATCGCCCTGCCCCTGTCTTTTGCCCCTAGGGAAGAACCCTCCACACGATTTGCCACCCAAAAAATGACCAACAAACGGGCCCTGCCCCTTTAAAAAAAAAAAAAAAAGTTCAAGGCCAACCCATTCCCCCCACAAATG